ATCATCATCATCATCATCATCATCATCATCATCATCATCATCATCATCATCATCATCATCATCATCATCATCATCATCATCATCATCATCATCATCATCATCATCATCATCATCATCATCATCATCATCATCATCATCATCATCATCATCATCATCATCATCATCATCATCATCATCATCATCATCATCATCATCATCATCATCATCATCATCATCATCATCATCATCATCATCATCATCATCATCATCATCATCATCATCATCATCATCATCATCATCATCATCATCATCATCATCATCATCATCATCATCATCATCATCATCATCATCATCATCATCATCATCATCATCATCATCATCATCATCATCATCATCATCATCATCATCATCATCATCATCATCATCATGAACAATAAATTCATAAAATTAGTAGATCGGTTTATAGATTCTTTGTTCGAATCCCAGAAGTCGGGATCGTTGATACGCACCACTGAGGAGTCACACAGTAGGATGTAACGGCCGTTTTCTTTTTCTTGGTATTCCACAGTGGTCTACCTTCAATTGACTCTTGATCTATACTATTGAAATTACTATAATCTCCACAAACGTTCTTCTGATATAAATTTAGAGGCATTTAACATTATCACAGTTAAATTACTTTGCTCATTATTGATTTTATCGTTATTAAATTTATTTTTATGCTTTATATTGGAAAACATAATGAGTTTAGTTATTTGTAGTAGTTGCTACCCTGATTCACGCTTAGGGTAACTAAACGGATAGAATATTGTTCAATCATTTTCTTTCATAGATTATTATAGATTTCTATGAAATGACTGTCAATTGTATAACACAAAACATAACTCTATCCATTCCATTTGTTTTATTACCTTAGTTTCTTTTCAGCTACATTTACAAGTTCGTCAGTTCAGTTCATTCCAATCATTAATATAATGTTAATAATTATTTGTAAAATCCATAACAAATGCGTTGGTGCGGCCGAGATTAGGTTGAATCATCCTTCTCTCTCTCTCTTGAAGTGCTCTCACATAGTCACATTCATACAGCCACTGACAGGAAAGTCCTACTCATTGCCCTCTCGTTACGAAGGTGTTGTTTGAGAAATTGAGAGGACGAAAAGAGAATGTTCGATGCTTTAACCGAGTTGGTGGATATGGAGCAGCCACCTAGGGGAGTTGGAAATCCTGATTCCAAATCAATGCTGCACATGAGTTCCAGTATCCTGAGTAAATAAATGACGTATTAACCAATCGTTGACCACTGTCTATCATGAGACTGCATCTCCTGACATTGCCCCAGTGCCTTGTTGATCAGACCTTTAGGTCTAAGGGTTGATGTGTGGCCAATTATGAAAACCACCTGTTTCAGTCTGACCACCTAGACAGTATCATAAGCCATACGCACAAATCAAGTAACTTGTATGGTACATATGTATTTGGTGCCCCTTTATACCAATATTTATATGTTCAAATAAATGAATAAATGTGTGTAGTGTTTAAGAATTAAAGAATTGAAGTTTTAAGAAAGAAGTTCTGTTTATAACTGCTTCATATACCTTTGCTTCTTAACAATATTGTTTTAACGGGAAACAATTGACATGATTGACCTAAATTCATAACTTATATCCATGACACACATACAACTCAAACAGTTAATGAGACTATGCACTAATAACGCTTAGTATTAATTTAATAATGAACGATACTGTCATGGAGATGGTGTAGCGGTGATTATTCTTTCTGAATTTGTTCCTACAAACATAGCTGTTTGAAATTCGGAGAGAACGAAATTATCACCTGTCATCTCTGATACATTTTGATTGTGGAATGATGTAAATCATGTAAATAAAATACTTGGATCTTTCCATATAGTTCACCATAATATTAAAATGAACGGTGAAACCTAAAGTAGACAGTGCCAAAACATTCACAGTTTTTACATTATAGACTATAAATATGGTTTAGTGAAAAAAACTCTACCATTTGTGGTGTATGCTGCTGATGTCAACAGATATAAGTAGTATGTATCATTAATCGAAAGTGAAATATCTGGTGGCAAAAGGTTAAGAAGATCAAAGAAAAGTCAACATGAACAGTGAGTGAATGTTATAGAAACGATACTGTCCGGGTGCCCAAACTGAAGCAGGTGGTTTTCTTAGGAGGTCGCACCCACAGCCTTTGACCTAAATGTCTGATCAACAAGGCAGTGAAGCAACGTTAATAGATGTAGTCCCATGGTAGACAGTGATCAACGATTGGTTAATACGTCATTTATTCCTTCAGGATCCTGAAGCCCGTGTGCAGCATTGATTTGGAATCAGGATTTCCAACTCCCCTAGGTGGCTGCTCCATATCCACCAACTCGGTTAAAGCATCGGACATTCGCTCTTCGTCCTCTCAATTTCTCAAACAACACCTTCGTAACGAGAGGGCAATGAGTAGGACTTTCCTGTCAGTGGCTGTATGAGCGTGACCATGTGAGAGCATTTCGAGAGGGAGGACTGACTCTCCCCACTCTCGGCCGTACTAGAGAATTTGTTGGCTCCTGATTGTAAAGTTGATTCTGTTATACATGCTACAATAATTACAGAAACTTTAATATCTACTTATTTTAATGAATATATTCCATGAAACTTAAATCTTTCAGACGAAATCTTTTTGTTTAGTTCAATAACTGTTCGATTTCAGTTCAATTTTATGTTAACTAAAAAACTTAATAATCTCCACAACCCCATACTGATAATTACCATGTGCTCACTAGTGATTGGCTTCGTAAGGGAATTCTCGGAGTTCTAGTGAGAAGCCGTGACCAGTGAATTTAATTTGTGTCAGGTAGAGACAGATATCTTCTACCTCAGTACAATGGAAGATGATTGCATAATTTCGTGGATTAGTTGAATTTAGACATTAACACCGTTAGTTGTAAATGTAATGTAGTGAATCGAACTTATAACCCTTCTTTTTTTTTCTGAAATTCCAGAATATTTGTTCTATTATTCAATGTAAGCAACCGGAAAATTAAGGCGGTCTATCTTTCTTAATGGGTTTCATTACCAGGCAATTGTAGAAAAACTCACATTCACTTTGATTGTAGTGAGTGTTTTTAGGCGTAATGTTTCACTGGAAGCATCGTTTTTTAGAAAAGTAACTTCTTCTGGACCATGGTTATCATCAATCTGACTTTTGCCTGTTTTATATGTTGATTAATAAGCTTAGTAGGATGATGGTTCTCATTAAGAAGGATATGGGTATGATTTAATCCATACTTGGTAGTATCATCAATGTGAAACATCTTAGTACAATGAGTGGGGATTTTTTAAAAAACAAATCAAATTCCTTTTATATCTGATTGGTATCGAACTGTGAAAATGGGTAATATTGATCAAACACTCATTTCCTATATATTTATGATCTGTGTAGGGACAGTAGAACTTTAGCTGACGGGTTATGTCTTTGAACGATCCACTCTCCTGTTTTGTAATAAAAAGATCTGCGGAAATAGGAATTCAATGGTGATCTCATAGCTACATGATCTGGTTGTCTACGATATTCATTGCTTAATCGAATGTGAATATTCATTATGCATCTAAATATCAGATCTTAGTACGTACATGAGTTGTATGTGCGTCATGAATATAAGTTGTGAATGTCAGTCAATCATTTCAATTGTTCCCCATAAAAAGAATATCGTTAAGAAGCAAAGATATATGAAGCAGTTATAAACAGAACTTCTTTCTTAAAACTTGAATTCTTTACTTCTTACAAATTACACACAGCTTATTTGTTATTATCAGTATGGAGTTGTAGAGGTTGAGATCATGAACCGATTGATGTTAGACCACCATTCAACACCTGGATACACTGGACGGCCGTTTTATCCTATTATGGGACTTCTCAGCAGTGCGCATTCACGACCCCACTCGCGGCATTCGAACCCAGTGATTTCTAGACCACTGAACCGGCCGGCATCCAACGGTGTTAATTTGTAACCTCAACCAATTGACAAATGATTGTTTATATTATACTAATGATTGGAATTAATTGAACTGATGAGTTTGTGTGTACCTGAAGAGAAAGTAAGGTTCTCAATTTATGTCATATTCTGTAAATATTGACGGTCTTCTTCATTTGAATTTGTGAAGTGAATCAATTGTTTGCACAACTTGTACAAACAAAAACGTACTGTAACCATTTTGTACTACTTAATAACATTAAGTAGCACAATTATACCAAGATCAAAATAAAGATTTATGTGCTCAGTTTGTTTCAAATAAAAAACAATCGTATTTTATAGCATTTTGTTTCATTTCGACATAACGTCCATAATCACTAGGTAACTAAAAAAGCATCCTGTGTCTTGTAATATAAACTGAAGTTTCGAGCTTCAGATTGATAAATTACTCTAATTTGTAGTCACAGAGAACTGTAGATTATGAACTATCTGTAGTCAATCAGCTACAACGTAGGATCAGGCATATATATTCATCGGTCCAAGTTGCCACATCTCATAAGCACAGCAAGATGAATACCAAATTTATAAAAGTAGTCACCTCAATGGTGGTAATATATAAAAAAAGATTGCATATCAGGACATAGTACAGGAAGAAAGAATTAGTTCGTAGAAAGAAAGATATGAAGCGATTTTACTCTCTTAGTTTAAGGGACAACATAGAGTGTATAGACCTACACTATTGTGATCGATTCTGAGCCATGTCATCTAGGGTCTCCGACCATTGGTTACGATAGTCATGGGGACTCCAACCAAGTAGTTTGCATCTACCAACATGGCTGAGACCAGAAGTTAGTAACCCTAAAAATACACAGTTTGCCTTATCCCACGGATATCCGTTTCCGGTGGTAAGGTCTCAACGAGTACGGAGCTAACACAAAAATTACCCACAAAAAGGTTGTATGTGACCGACCTCAGGCAGTTGTCCCTTGGGTACTGCAATCATGCTTTCATGTTTACAAGACCACCTTTAATCCAATTTCTTTTTCATGTACCTGCAGAAGAACCCTTCCATGGTGTGGGAAACCGGGAAGTGATAACTGCCCTCATACTTCCAACAGCACTCATGACCACTCGATGGACTATCGGTAGACTCATTATACAAACTGAAAGTTGAGATAATAATAGTGTTACAGTATATACCATAGTTTCTGATTGAGTTTTTTTTTCCTTCTTTGAACTGGATGGTTTGGTTTTGAAGCTTTCATCATTCTTCTAAATGACATCATCAGTTAAAAACTTCAGGTAGGAATTGCTTACATTTTAAGTTGCTGAAGAAGACTTTATCAGCTCACTTGTATAGTTCAAATTCAATTGTGTATTGTTTATGATGAACAAGCCCATTCATATGATATGCTTTTTTATTCTTATCAGAAATCTGATGGTAGCAAAGTAAACATAATTTTCACTGTTACGAATTAGAAATAACAGTACTTTGAAAAAACTATGGAATAGATCAAGGAGATTGACATTGTTTTAGTTAAAAGAAGATAGAATAGTAATATTGAGATTGGTATTGTTTAAACTTAATTTCTATCACAAAGATGTTAACAGTTTCCAGAATACATTTTGAAATGTAAATGAAGGAACACAAATGATTTATGATTTGTTTTTATGAATCATCAGTAGATTAGATTGATAAATCTTGCTAATTGAATGCTAGATTCGGTTCCTAAGCTCTTGTAATAAC